CTCTATCCAGAACAAAAATGTTTAATATCAAAGAACATTTCATGGCAGCTTGATATCAAAAGGGAAAAGTAACAGGGAGTTGTTGTGTTCTTAGATATAAATTGAAGTTTTAAGTAGGTCAGCTCATTTCCTTAATATCTAAAGGTGTTACCAGGATTTCCATAAGCATTTTGATATATTTCCTTATTTTGGAGAAGGAGATTTTATCCTCTCAAGAATCCATTCCACAAGACTAATGTTAATCAAAACAAATACCTCTAAACTTCACCAAACMAAATCACCTTAAAACTGCTTTTGCTACATTGGTATGAGAAAAGTTGACAAAACTTTTGGTTTAGCTTTTCTTCTTACTTTTTTTTCTGTGTTTTCCAATGGAAACCAAAAGCCCAGAACTCTTGAAATCCCATTTCCATGAATTCCTCTCCTCCTAACACATGCCCAGTGCAACTTCTGGATAGGGATCAAAATCTCAGCCCAGATAAATGCTTTGGGAAATGGAGATGATAAATAGGATTTTCATCATCTTCAGTGAAGGGAAGGTGATAATGTTTTGTAATCAAACAAACATGGCTTGATGGAAGGAGGAATTGAGCATCACTTAGCCACCGCTTAATTTTCTAAGCACTTCCATAAATATGGAGTAAAAAAAAATATAAAAAGGCACTCACTTAACAGTAGTTTAAATTATCAGACGTAAGAAATTCTGCAAAATTGGTAATTGCACAGATTCACCACTAGATTAATGCTTTGGAAGGAATGTTGATTTGGAACCTAAAATTAAACAATTAGCCTGATTTCATAAGTTGCTGGGAGGATGCAGAGTTCCTATATAAAATGGATATTTAGGTAATGCAATATTGGCAGCGTGCCCAGGATATAAAATGATGCATGAAGCCACGTTGCAGTAAAATATTCCTGTCAAGAAACACTGCCCCCTTCCAGGATGTATTTATAACTCTAATTTAATTGATATGCAATGCCACAGAACCTAAGCAAGAGTCAATTACAATTAGCAAGGCTTTTATAAATAATTATTAATTAATAGAGTATCTCTTGGAACATGACTTTCTGTGTTTACTAATGCTTCACTCCTGAAGTGACATCATTTACCAGGTTGAGCCTAAAGTTAGTCTTACAAAAAAAGAGTTAAAATCTGAATTTGCTTTTACTTAGTATTACCAGAGCTCATTCTGAAGAAAATTAACTTATCACCCAGACTCCAGCTCAATAGACCAGAGGCACCTGGGAAACTTTTCATTTTGCATTTCTGACCATAAAACAAATCACAAAAAGTCTTGAAAAATCTTCAGGATTTTGCAAAATGTTCTAGTAATTGTGCGTTTTGTGCTGCTCAGTTCCATTTTGCACTGTGGTGGCCAGCTCCCATCTAAAAAGAGAATTTTGAAGCTCTCATTCCAGATCCAGTCTGGAAACCCACGTGGTGTTCAACGCTGTGGTTTTACTCCYCAGACTTGAACGAATTTCTGAAGGTCTGAAATTAAATTTGCTGGTTCCCACATTAAATTCTCCAATTGGGTAATGATCTTTCATCTGGTTGTGCTTGGTGATAAATGTTCTGGGTTTATTATCTACAAAATCATTGGCTATTTTTGCTTTGTAGTATCATATATTAAGAAACTGGAGAATAGATTTGAATTTTAAATTTTTTTTTCCTGTGAATTAGAATTCAGTGTGCACAAAATACTTAATTTTTAATGAATTTCAAGATCGATTTTTTCATTTCAGTGCTTCCTTCACAGTAAAACAGAAATAATGGCTGATGGTATTCATTTACAGTGCTAGACCAGGAGTCACTTTTTATTTTAAAKATAATTTGAAGCATTATATTTTAGGGTCAGTCACTCTAACTCACCTTTCATTCCCATCTTGGTGGTCCCAGGAAGTTGATAACTCCTCCTTTGGCACAGGGAAATTATAGAAATGCTCTTTAACTGTTCCTGGAGCTGCAGAGGCAGCTTGACAAATGATCCAGAGTTTAACAGCCATGCTGAGAATTAAAACCTGTGCAAAACCCAGGGAAATCTGGTTTTTCCTTAATGGCTGCAYGCTGGGATGTGCCAGATGTTCCAGATGCTTTTTTTGGGATGACAGGCAGTCTGAGTGYAATAATTGGGATAGTCTGGGAGAATCACACGTATTCTGTTGAAGGAGGAGCCTTTTATTGCCACTTTTGCAGGAAAAGTGCTCATGTTTTATTTATCCCTTCCTGCTCTTGCAGAAAGAAACAAAACCRTGCTAACTGTCAGGGATGAGCATCACTTCCTTCAAAGTTTTATTTCCTGTCTGGATTGCCACATAAATTCCACCTTTGGTTTTTATTTAAGTGTCTGTAACGTGGAAAACCTTCTCGCCCTGTCTTGCAGCAATGCTGAGAAATCACTCTGAGGATGATTGTGTGGATTCTGGCTGCTCAGAGCAGCCAAAAAAAAAAAGCATTTCTGGCTTCTGTAGCTTCAAAATGAGCCTGCCCACTTGTACTGGTTGTCAAATAATATTATTTTTCATTGGTACCAGAATGTCCACTTGAAGGTTTGGGCTGACAGGGATCTTGCTCATAGTTTGGGATGGGTCCTTGAGCAGCAATGTCCAATAATTTATTTCTTTAGAACTCTGTTCAGACCTGGTTCTCTGAACCACACTCTTCACTAATCTAGAAACAGCTCAGAGAGGAATTTTTTAAAAATGTATTTTACAKTMCAAGGGRAAATAAAGGRAAATAAAATGTTAAGRAAGGTTCTTTTTGARGAATAATGCCATCAGYCTTTAGGTTTCCATCTTCATTTGATAATCAAGAACTTCATCCTTGACCCAGATCCAGGAAAATAAATAGTCTAGAAGAGTTTTAACCCCAAACTCTGGTTATCCTTCATTTCTGTAAGAACCAGCCCTTTGCAGAACCTCAGGAATTTAGGGCTGGAATTTTTTTTTGGAGCAGCCTGGAAAGGATGGATGCATTTGCACTGACCTGACTCCTTCAGCAGTTCAATCCTGAGACCAACTGCTCATTCTCGCTGCTTCCAAAAGTTCAGGCTGCCTGCTCAGCCCAGAATTSCTCGTGTTTGTAGTTACATCAGGACACTTTGCACAAAGCAAATATGAGGCTGCCTTTATYCAAACATATGCAGTGTTTTCAGAAGTAATTCTGCTCTATTAGAGCACGTTTAAATGATGATATTCTGCAGTCTTCAAACAAACCACTACAAACTACCACTGCAAGTCAGCAAATGAAGCATTCATTAACCTGCTGTGACTTGGTGGKTAAATTGCCATTTGTAAAATGTTCTGGAGCCCTGTGACTGCTGAGAATCACAACACTACTGTTGTACTTTGCATTATTTTAGAAAATGAATTTATGCCTTGTTTTTACAGTTTTGGCTATCAAAAAAATTATTTATCTCCGCTTTTGTACAAATAGCCTAAAGCCAAATGTAACAGCCATTTGTTCATACAGATTAACTCCAACTGCTAATAATGCTATGCTAATTGCAGTATTTACCCTCTGGAAGATGCCCCAAATCTCTCCCTTRTCACCCAAATATCAAATCCTGCTGCTGCTGATGGGAGGATCAGTGCAGGAATCCAGGTGAACGCTGTGAAGGCTCCTCTGCCTCTTCCTCTGGGCTCAGCCTTGCTCCCTGTCCTTCCCTTCCCCAGCAGGGGACAAGGATGGGGTTTTGGGGKACAGAAGCATTTCATGACAGCCCTGGGCAGGGTCACAGGAGTGCTGTTCCCACAGGAATGGGGAAAGCGAGGAAAAGGAAGGAATTCACTGTTTTTCTTGCCCTGTGGATCTCCTTGTGTTTCTCAGCATCCTTTGACCCCACATCCCCTGCTCCCCTCACCCTGAGCTGCCTCCCCCATTCCCCAAGTGCTGGCAATGCCCATCATCACCCCAAAATTACAAATCCCCAGGGGATCCTTTCCTGTGCCTTCAGTTCATCCTCTCACCTGCTCTCGTGTTTCCTCCAGCCTGAATTTGAGCACCTCAACCTGCACCAGATGATTTCCTGTCTCTGTTATCTCTCCCCTCACCAAGACTGAGTGGAATAAAAACCTCAAAGGCCGCTTTTATTTTTAGCTCAGCACGATAATTCTGATAATTCAGGGAGATGAGGAAAGCCCCCGGTAACAGGGCAACTGTTTGATTGTTTTTGAGCAAATATAAAAAAAATCAACAGGATAATAAATGTATGAGTTAAAGAAGCAGAAGAAGAAATATTTTTTTTCTTTGTGTATCTTTATTAATAATAATTCAGTATCTGAGTACAGAAGAAAGGAGGAACAATAGGATAAAGAATCTTTTGAATCTTTGCATCTGAATAAATGGTGCAATGGATGCAGATGGAATGAAATTGCATTTGGCCGTTGAGATCAGTGACACACATTGTGAAACTATTGCAATCTCATTATCAACTATTCCAGCCTCTTCCTTTAGTAAACAACAAAACAATAATGACTGATATAAAGATATTTGAATAACTTCACACAGGCTCTGCAGCTCAGGATTCTTCAGTTCATGGTGTTTAATGTGATTTCTTTACTTCTTAGGAGAAGAAATTCTGATTGAAAAAATTTTTTTTTTTTTTTTTTTTTTTTTTTTTTTTTTTTTTTTTTTTTTGGCTGTAAGTTATTTATAGAAGTTTCAGGTAAATGGGACTTTCTACAGGATTTCCTTTGGGAAAGGAGCCTCAGATCTGCTTTTGGGACCTCAGAGGCCTTTTTTGCCTTTTCATCTCCACTCGTGCAAGGCAGCAGCAGATCCATGGGGATCCCTGGAGCTCCATAAATGTGGAGCTGACTAAAGCAGGCAGATAGGTGCCAGTGACCTGAATTTCACAGAATTTGTGCTTTATAGTCCCTGACAGCATGACAAGACTTGTGCCTCCTGAGCCTCCCACATGTCTGCTACTCATGAAAGTGGCCTTGTAGTAGGATGAAGTAAAGTTTTAGTTTCAGAAGTAGAAAAAGGCTTTAAAAAAAGTCACAAAAGTAAGAAGAAACTGCTCAAAAAATTATATATAAAGCTGTTGAAAATGCAGCTAGGAACCTTCTACCTGTAAGTGATTGTCAGTATTGTATCTGCATGTAATTTCAATTACGCAGGGAAATTAATTTTAGCTGTAGGTAGACATTTATAGAAATGATAGAGTGGGGGTGTTTCCATATTTAGTGTCAGAAATCCTTTATAGACGYTGGCATTTCAAGCTGACAATGAGATTGTTCTTCCAAAAGACCTTCTTTGGGGAGAAAATCAGCCAAATAAAAGATGATAAATACATGACAGAGGTCTGTAGTAACCCTGAGTGCCCACACTGAAATACTGGTGATAATCTCTGTGTTAGTGATGAGCTGCTCAGGAGCTGAGATTTCCCTTTTAATAAATTATTGATAAAAATTTTAAAGGCCATAATTATGTTTTTTATGTTTTGAGTACTAATATAAAAATTTTCTTGCTCTGTATTGATACAGATATAAATAAATATTTCTGAATTGCAGTGAACTAATAATCAGTTACAACAATCCATGAGTTGTTCAATGGTTAAATCATATTTTCCTTTTTCACACTGTCATAGAGCCCTTTTAAATGCACCTCCTAGAGACCATGCTTTAGTTAATTAAATTATATTATTCAATACCTTCCGAAATTAGTGGTTGGTAATGCAGAAAAATTTGTGGTGTTGAAAAACTGACCTCTAGAAAAATGTGGTTTATTATCAGAAGCAAATTTCACTCCAGTAAATCTTTTTTCAGCCTAATATATGCAAGTTCACATCACACTAAGAATTTCTTATTGAATATATCTKGTGAAAAGAAACCTGGAAGCCATGATCCAAGGTGATCACGTGTGATGGAGGTGGAGTTCGTGCCTTTTCTTGGAAGGAAAGAAATAACTGGGCTGGTTCTGAATTAGCAATGAAAAATTGTAATCCAGGTGCTGGAAAGAGCAGCCAGAGCAGGGTGAGGGAGRTTTATTTCAGCTTTGTCAGGGTGGGATGGTCCCATTTGGGAGGAATAAATAAACCCCGATTTGGAAACACTTTGCTTTTACTTTGGGAGCGWTTTTGGGAAAGAAAATTAAGAAACAGAACAGGAAACACTGASTGAATTAGTAGTCCCACTTTTAGTTGCTAAAATTAGAAACCTCAGAAGTCAGAGGGATCAGAGAAGGAAAGCTTTGAGCCYTCTGTAGGAAGAAATTCTATTTTTATATCAGCAGCACTGGTAGTGCTGCTGTCAAAGTTCTTTTGCTCGGTTGGCCACACAATGTTTTCCTGGGCTGTCCCCAGTATTTCCAGGGATGCTCAGCCTGGTTCATTTCTATTTAGCAGTGCATTTTCAGCACCAAAATAACCTCTCTCAAGCAGATATTTTGCTTTAGCTGTGTGCTGTTAACCCTTCCAGTCTGCTTCCAGAAAATGTGAGTATTTCTAGATGGCTTTTTTTTTTTTTTTAAAAAAAAAAGAGTTCTCTAAGCTACATTTCAGCATCCTCTGTGGAGAATTGAGGTATTTATGGCACTCAGGAAAGCCTGCTGGAGTTTTGTGTACTCAGTTACTCAGTGGGAGCTCCTGCTTTTTCCTGATTCCAACCAAGAATGTCAGAGAATTAATGCAAGGGCACCATCCTGTTATTTTTTTATCAAAGTGGGCCATCTCTGCTGCTCACATTTGCTGGGATTTTCCAGCTGAAGCCCAGTAAAAGCTCATAACTGGTTCTGTACTGGGAGGGAGACTCCTTGAAGAGGGAGGTACCAAAATGTGTTTGTCCCCTGCACATTTTAGGAACAGAAAACGCTCCATGCAGAACCCTGTGAAAATTTCAGCAGCAGCCCCAGAAAACTTCCCACCCCTTCCATTTGGGGTTTGTAGCCGTGCTCTGAGCTCTTCTGGGATTTAATATTGGCTGTGACTGAACATCTGCTGCAGTTCTAGAGTTGTGGCATTAAACACAAACATGGCACTGACCACAATTATCAGTTTCTTATCTGGTTATCCAGAAAATCCAGAGTCAAAGATCCTGCACGTGCAGATTGCTGTTTATAAACAAACCCATATTAATTTTATAACCTATTTGAGGTTTTTGTAATTTTAGTTTTGATGAATTTCAATTTTTAGCTGCAGGGAAAATTCTCTATCATMAAACTTGCCTTAAAGTAACTTAAACAGCCTGAAGATTTTATTTTTAACCCTGAATGAGTTTCTACTTCCACCAAGAAAACAAGTTCCTTTCCAAACCTCAGAGGAATAACCGGTGTAGTAAATCAAGTTATTTAAAGAATGATGTCAAAGTTCTGATGACAGCTTGTCCTTCTGAAATTCTGTATTCTATATTGTAATATTTGTTCTTTGCATTTCAGCTCCCTTTCAAACATCACACTTTTGCAAACATTCTAACAAGTTTTAGCACCCTTCTTACTTGAAAGAGCTTTGGTCACTGTTACACAACATCTGAAATTRGCTGATTATTGCAGATGCAAGTGGTTTTAAGCATGATCTTCATTTTAAAATAACTCTTAGCTAGAAACTGAAATGAGTGTTCCATTTCCTTTGCCTTAGAGCTGCACAATGACTGTGGTTTTCCTCTGTCACTTGTCTGACTGTGCTCAGAGCACCAAGGAAGTCTGATCTTTGGTCGAGCTTAATGCTTTTTATTTTTCTTCTACAGAGAGCAGGGGACACAGTCAGTGGAGATACTGAAAGGTAATTACTTCTGTTAKTCTATATTTTAATTTATACATGGTGTGTTTGTGAATTAAACTTATTTCTTTGCTTTCAGAAATTTTGTTGCAGTATTAGAGGAATAAATTGTCAGGGTTTAGAGATATCAGCATTCATCAGTTGGTAAATGTTCATTTGCTGACACCAAATATAAATATAGATAAAAAAGGTTTAAAAAATACTTCTGATAAAAGTTCATAAAATATGAGTAGAGGGCAAAAATTATACTGCTACATTGCCCAATCTATTTTTTTAAACTTTTAAAATTCAGTATTTCAGAGTCACTCTGAGGATGAAAAACAACATGTGTGTCTAACAGGACTTTTGTAACCAACAGGCAGATTGTTTTAATGAACATTTACACCTAATTCAGTCTGTATAAAACTACTGCTGCTATTTTTGGTTTGTAGTAGATAAATACTAACAACAAGGTCTTCAGGTTGGGTCTGAATTGGATCAATTAATTTTAATGAAGGAAACAGTGATTTTGCCTTTCATTTCTTTGCCATTTATCTGATGAAGTATTTTCATATTCACGTTACATCCAATAACTCATAGTGAAAGAATAAGTTTGAAATAACAGATACTTTGCATCATCACATATTCTAATTAAGTTAAATCGTAATCTATAATAATTATCCTTTCTTACATGTTTTCATCCTGCATATGGCCTCAACCTATTTAAGCTGAATAATTAATTAGATTTAGAGTGCTTTGACCAATCTAAAGGATTTACAGCTGCTGAGGATTCCCTTCAGAGCCACAAACACCACTGAGTTATGACTGAAAACTGGAGAGAGAACCCAATCACTACACACGAGTCACCTCGTGCTTGATTTTTCA